CTCTGTCTCTAGCTCTCTTCCTTTCTTTGCCCTGATTGGGATCTGCAGTCAAGCGGATTAACACATTCTGACAGGAGAGGCAGGCGGCCCACACACACACACACACACACACACACACACAAACACATTTTCAAAGCAGCACGTGCATCTCAGAGAGAGGCTGTGTGTGCATATGTATTGCCTCTCAAGCTCACACTGAAGTGAAGGAATGTCCAGCCGTGTGATGAATACCGAATCTACACTCTCTCTCTCACACACACACACACACACACACACACACAGACGAACCTTAATGTGAAGTAAAGTGCTTCTAAGCATTCGGGGACAGGCACTGTGACATACCCAAAGCATAACATGGGTGTATAAGTATGCGCACGTACGGGTGCGTGTGTGATCCTGCGTGACTACATCCACACTTCATAATTTATACTCAAAAGTACTTGCTCCGAGAGACTCACAGAGGCAGGGAAGCAAATGGGCACATTTTGTGACGATCCAATTATCCCCTCCATCTTCTCTCTCTTCCTCTTTTCTCTGTCACTTGCTATGTCTCAGTTCAGTCCTCAGCCTCTGATGTTAAACCAAGTGCAAGTGCAGATAATCTTTAATAATTATTGTATTATTCATCCCTTCCGTCACACGGGCTGTTCTGGTCCGATGGCTGCCACTGACGGCCCAAACAGTGCACGTGAGGTGTTGTGGTCATGGCCCTCACATGCCCAATGCTCTTTGGTGATCCAAACAACCAAAGAAGAAGCAGTTCCACTTCCCCAAAAAGCCAATTAATTATCATTAGTTAATCATAAGTGGAGGTAATGAGCCTAGATCATTTCCTGGTTTTAAACAGCATCATCTGTTTAATGAGACTCCAGCTGATTTGGGAAACTAGGTGGCGGAACGTGGAATGAACTCGCTCTCTCTCTAAATTCAGCTGCGCTCAGTATTATCGTGCAGATTGGGAAATTACACGTCACCGTGTCACTGTGAGAGCCTCCTGGGAAAAGGAGAAGGCTCTCTGCCATCCTATAGCTTTATTTTTACCATGAAATACCTGGTTCACACTCAAAGAGTGGCAGCGGCTCAAAGACAGAGTCGTCCACCGGTCAGGAGGCTGGCTGGTGGTTAGCTTGTCCACACGTCAACGTTTTCGTGGGGAAGGTGTAGAGCCCCTGACTGAATTCAATTTAAGAGGAGTCATCAAAATGCCATCGCTTTGGGGGGAAAAAACTTGCCTTTCTTGAATTAATAAAAGTGTAAGGAACTGGGCATTGTTTTCAGCTGAGCTCAATAAAAGCAATATTTCACATGGTCCACACAAGTCTGTCCATACTCTGTATTTCCCACAGTGTCCAAAAAAAAAAAAGAAAGAAAAAATAATGTGATGTGCACTGTCAAGCCAACACTCATATAAACATTATTATGTGGGCGTCCAAAACTGATATATCCTCTTTCTCTGTGCCACAGAGCTCCACTGTTGTCCAAAACCTATTAATAACGCATCAGTGAGCCACACAGTTGCACTGGGTGACACGTTCCTTCATTACCATGAACACACTGACACGCTGCATGAATATTTTGACTAAATCCTTGACTCAGGCATCAAAAGTCCAGTAGATTAATCTTGAAAACTGCCGTTTGTCCTCCAGTGAAAAATCTATTAAAAAACAGTTCATGCATATGTATTATTTGTAACTGTTAAATGTTAATCTCCAGCCAGTGGAGATGGAGCTGAGAGGCAGGGAAAAAGAAGTAAATACTTTATATCTTCGCACAAAGTTCTGCGGAACTTCTCGCAGTCGCTCTTTGGGAAGAAAGTAGGAAAAAGGCTCGTGGAAAATGGCTGGGTGGATCACACCGACACTCATAACATGGAGGTGTGCACCGCAGCACATCTGGTGAAGGGGACAGTCGAGGACAAATGTTTTAAAATGCCTCCTGGCCTACAAAGAGAGAGGGTGAGATGGTGTGGTGGAAGGGGAGAATAAAGGCTGGTAGAGCAGGAAAGCTTCCATGTAGGACACACACACACACACACACACACACACACACACACACACACAGACAGAGGCTCACCACGACTGAATATTGTATGAGGTGTTCTCATGGGCCACTGAAGAGCGTGCAAGCAGGGAGTAGAAGGTGGACTCGTGTGCGCATGTACGCGCGCACGCGGGACACACAATAATGAACACGCATAAAGAGAGAGAAAGAGACAGAGCGACACACTTGAATAAACAAACACATGTACGCACACAAACAGAACCAGTGGAGCTTGAGCTGATGTGGCCCGGAGCTGCCCAACGCCCAGCCATGACACAAACACACACTCACACACACGTTGCATACACTTAAGAGCCATCTGCAGTTGGAGATACAGCCCACAGAAAGACTTTAGTGCTGACACTCTGACACAGCCTTCGAGAAAGGGACAGGCGGGGAAAAAAAATAAAAAATTTAAAAAATGGGAGAAATTGTCGTGACCGCGTGAATCAGAGATTAGGAGGAGGGGGAGAAAAGGAGAAGGGTAAAAAATGGAGGAGAGAAAGTGACAGGCAGAGAGGTGAAGGGAAAAATACAGTCCTGAACTCTGGCACATTAGTTTTACCTTCAGCCCACTCAAAGACAAAACTGCTTCACCAACACTTTCGCGGAGATTTCAGCAATTACTGCACTAAAGCTCTGATTGGACCACCGTCCCTCTGGATGCCTCCCGCTTTGCCCTCTTTTTTTCTCTAAACTGTAAATGATAACAATCAAACTCCAGCTGGCGATCTTTGGAAAATCAAGAGCACTTTAAAAAGAAACTCTGCTCCATTTTGCATCGTACACTTTAAAGTAGGAGAATTCAAAGACTGTTTGCAAAGTTAGCTTGTTCTCCAAACAACCCACAACAATAATGACTACCTCAATCACAACGGACAGCTAAAGGTGACACGTTCTCTTCTGCAGGATTTTCCAGAATTCTCAGTTTTACGGAGGTTGTCATTCAGCGGTCTTTTGCAGGAACAGTTGTTTAAAGCAGCCATAGTGAATATTATTCATCTTCTCTAAATCACTGCCAACACATGGTTTCGTTCCAAAATTTTGAGGCCAATTTGACAAATTTTCAGATTGGAGAGCTGAAGCACAAACATCTCAGGTCATATCGGTGCCAAACCAAAATAGCACGCATCTATTTCTGAGCAGGTCCTCTCGATTTTTTGTTTTGTTTTTTTGGTAGCTAAGCTCTCGGCTTTAAAGTGTGCATTTTGTTGGAATATGGCTCTGATCTGAGCAGTCCACATGACAGTAAAAACGTAGTGACTTTATGTTGACACTGTTTCCAGTTGACTGATCACAGTGTCCCCGCAGCAATATGCGTAAAATCAAGTGAGAAAAATATTCACTGGCAAGCCAGATCCAGCTTTAAGTCGACGCTGCATGGGAAGCATAAGTGCTGTGCTGCAGTGTACACGGCTCGCTGAATCATACCTAACCTACTCGTGTTCAATTCATGAGAAGGCCAGGATGTACATAAAAGGGTCAGCTAGGCATGTGAATGTGTGCCACTTTGCCTGGGCACTAAGAGGAAAGAAGAAGAGAAATGAAGGATTTCTCACTGTTAAGTAAAAAGCCAAAGTCCACCTAAATAAAACCTAATCTATGACATCTTGTGATTCAGTATTAAAGGAAAATCGACACGATGTTTCGACTGTTCTAACTGTTCTGGGCTGAGTCTGTCTCTGTGGCCATTTTGTACCCAAGTGGTTTCCAATTGCTTTTCCAAGTGTTGTCCTTTGGCTCATTGCCGATGTTGTTGTTGGTGGAGAGGTCTCTGGGTAACAATACGGTCGATGCCAGAGCAGGGGGGGAGGCCCAGCTGTCCCTACCTCTGCTCTCCCTGTAGGACGGCGGGCGCCGTGCCAGGCCGCCGCCTTCAGCGACTCGGTCATAGACTGTCTTTAAGAACTGGACACTGTGCTAAAATAAAGGAAGGGGTCCCTGACTGACTGAGACTGGAAAATACTGGCCTGGACTAAAATACACTGGACTTGGACTGCGCTGCCCATGTTTTCAAGTGTGTGAGAACTGCATCTTTCACTATGCATTTGCGCCAATTAGACACACAAATGCATTTTAACTCAAAGTGCCTGGCTCTGCTTGTAAGTGAAGTTTACACTTTTGTTCATTGCATGCTGGTCATTGCCCACACAGATTCTAGTGATTTTCTAAAGTAAATGTTTAGAACTCTGCCTGGACAAAAGCCACCGAAGAAACCGGAGTAAGAACTACCTTTTAACTTACCCTTTAACTTGGAAAGCCTGCTCTGTTCTGAAGAAAAGAGGCTTTCACTGCACTCCCCTTTCAAACCAATGTGACCATTTGATGCAGGGTGCACGGGAGGGCGAGCACTCCTTTTTGCTCTGCCCTGACGATCTCGTTTCCAATCAGATGGAGTCTGTCGGACCCGGCGCACCTTAGACAGCCTCACACGCGTTGTCTAAAGTGACATCTGCCCACTCGTGGTTCTTATTTTTGAATGCGACTCTGCCAAAGCGGACACCCTCAGCATTTGTGAACACACACCCTATTAGTGGAAAAAATAAGGGCAGGACATTCGTCTGACAGCCCGGAGAGGAGGATACTGTGCATCCTGCAGATCTTTTCGATCCTGTGGCAGTTGGGACATCTGGATGCTGTGTTATGTGCGGGAGCTGCCATAAAGGGACCGAAACAATGAGCATCTCACCTACAGGTTAAGGGAAAAAAGGTCTGAGGGTTTGAAATGCATGATCATCATAGCATTAGGTTGGTGTTGTTTTTTCAATTTCCTGGACAACTGAAAAGGGCAGTGTTACACAGGTTTGGTTTGAAGCTAATTAGTGAGGAGTTGTCTTAAAGGTGATAAAGAAGATTATTTTTATGTTTCAGGAAAAAATAATGAACGCGACTAGAAGAGTGTGGAAAGGCAGAGTTGTTCCCTACAGCCGGCCCCTCCCCCCCCGTCCTCCACGCTTTACCTCGATGATGTCGGCGTTGGTCCGGCTCTCGTGGGGCTCGTTGTACTCGGTGTACTTGAGCAGGACTTTGTCCATGTCGGTGCTGGCGTACTGGAACAGCTTGTTAGAGTGGTTGAAGATGATGAGAGCAATCTCGCAGTCGCACAGGACGCTCAGCTCGTACGCCTTCTTCATCAAACCAAACTTCCGCTTGGTAAATGTCACCTGGCGGAGAGAGGAAGGGAAAAAAAATCTTTTAGTATGGAATGATGAAAAACATTTAAATCAATCTTTGGATAGATAGAAAAAAAAAGGAAATTGCTGTTTTTTAAAGGCACAAAATAAGAAAAGTTCTACATAAAATGAAAGTAAAAAGCAGTTCATCACTCCTCTGACATCTAATTTCTTTTTTTATTTTCTTCACACAAAGTTGACTGAAGTGGTTTTTAGCGGCTCTCCTAAAACAGCGTGTCGCTAATCATGGAAATACCAAAACATTTGCAAGAGACCGAGCATTCGCTTCCTTCAAACTGAAACTAAATCACAATATTATGTGGAGAAATATCAGCCAATTCAGTTCCCTTTATTTCCTTTTAAAATGGAAATGTGTATGCATGTCAGATTTGCTTTGAAGGAGATAACTTGCTTGTGTAAGAATTGCACTGTGAGGCATTGACCTGAATTAAGAAAAGCACATTTCAGTCTCACTAATTGTCATGTTCTGTTATTTTTTCCGTTCAGCCCAAATGTGACACCTCGCTGTTTTTGTGGCGTCTGTGACCCGGACCCGACCCTCCGTTTTGGTCAGAAATGACAACGGCGTGTGGCCCAGAATGCCCAGGTTAACGTTAAGCATCCGAACACCAGCTCATCTTCACCTAAACGGCTCCATTGTTTCAGCCTTGAAGGCTTTTGTCATTTTAAGACCTGATGTGACAATCTGGCAAAAAGCTGAGGTGGAGTAATCCATTCAAGATGAAGACGTTTTCTCTTTGGGAAGAGGACTTCCAGACAGGGTGCGTAAACGTGCTCTTTGAAAGAACTCAGTTTTTACTCTGAGCACACACTCTGACTTTCACTTCCCTCTACATCATCTCTTTGCCGTCACATTCACCCTCCCTGTCATTTTCACACTGTGTTATGCTCTTTTCCATGCTCTCTTTCTATGTCACACTTGCTCTCATGCTCTCTTTTCCGCACTCTCCTTCTGTCACACATTATTTCTCCCTTTCCAACAGACACACACACACACACACACTCTTGTACAAGCCCCCTCAGCTGTGAACATGCAGAACAGAACTGGGAGTGTTGCGGCAGCACAGGGTCCCTCGTTGTCTGCTGATTGGCTTTAGAAGCGCTTCTCTGCTTTAACCAACTGGTATTTACAATCCTAAGAGATTTGGCTTTGTTTGGATTAAACACACAGGATTGCACAAACACAAACACGTAACACACACAGTCAAAAAAAGATAAGCAGAGCGACACAAAAAGAAAAGGCCTTTTTTTTTTTTTTTTTTGCCACCCGGTGTGGGAGAGAGCCGAAAAAAGTGACTGTGTACACAGTAGGTGTAGAAAAAGGCTTTCTGCTCCTCAGGCCGCTTCCTGCGGTGACATCACATTTTCCATTAAATATAAAAGCCAAAAACCTGCTTTGAGAGTCGTGACAGTCTTTAGAGAGTTAGAAGTTTTAGGATTTTGGTTCATTTGACAATATTTTGGGGTAATCCAAGAGCTTTTTGTTCACTTAAAAAGACACTTGTTCATTCTTTAAGTGTGTCTGTGTGCAGCAATGATGAGTCGTCAGGTCCAGAAGAGTGAATAATGACCCTCTAAAACAAAAATCCTATGCCTCCAAAGTTTCATATCTGTTTGAGCAAACACGACACGCTGATTGATTACATCATATCAATTTTGTGCTTGAGCCTGGATGCTGTGTGGGCAGGAGAGAGCTGGGAGAGCGGAGACAGCGGTGGCGCACCGAGGGGGCTGCTGGCCTGAAAACCTGAACCCAGAAGTTAGGCCCACCCTCCAGCATACCATCGCGCTGATTGGTGACTGGTTGGACCAGAGGAGGGTGTCCAGATTTCATTCTGACACAGCGAATAAAGCCGTTATAACATGAGCAAACGTCCGAAGTCTGTCCTGCTCTCGTCTTAATGGAAAGCCGCATCGGTCTTAACTAAGAATTCAAGAGAACATCGCTGTGTGGACATGACAGTTTAGAGTCCAGCGATATCTTCTTTTATTCCAGATAACCGCGGGCAAAGTGAAATAGAGGGTGACAGCGGTTTACCTGCACTGCCATACTCAGCACAGCCTGAGCTGAGGCTGTAATTGAAATGTACTGAGTGACGAAAGAAGAAGAAATGATAGAGACAGAGATATGATAGAGACATTGAGGATGAAAGCAAGAGAAGCAGCCATGTGAGACCTTCAATCTCTCCATCTTTCCCTCCTGCGATCACTCCATCTCCCCCATCTCGTGCTCCTTTCTGCTTCGGTACCTGACACGTTGGAGCTTCTCTCGGCTCGAGTCTTTTGCTCCTCTGATTTCCCTCGCCCTCGCTGTCTCTTCCTCCCCTCTGCCGCTTTTTTTTTCTCTCCACATCCTCTCCTCTCCGCCCTCCCCCTCCCTCCTTTCGCACTCGCTCACTCATTGCTTCCTGCTGCCACAAATCAAATTATATCGGGGTCGTATCCATGGGCAACCGACTCCCCTCCTTCCCCTGCCCCCTATTTCCCACCTCATCACACACCGCTACCGTCATCTTACCTCCCTCGCCCCCCCACCGCGTCATCCTTATCTCTCTGCCAATCTACATACCCCCCTCTTCCTTTTCCTCCTTTTCTGTCTAACACACACAGACACACACACACACAGACACAACAAAGGAGCAGATAAATTATGTGCGATGTTGGAAAGAGAGGAAAGAGTGGCTGGTGATGAGGGGACAAACCGGTGCAAACAACAGCCGATCCCCTGGCCAAACCATAAGGTCGTCCAGCAGAACTGAAAACAAACAGAACACGCCCAAAGAGCCCGATAAAAGCCCCCAATCTATTTCTTCTTCTCCAAAGAAAAAGTAAACAGCAGGGTGCTGACTCTGGGCCTGAGCTTCCATCCCCACGTTTAGGTAATTGGCATTAAGAGCTGAATTGCAAGGTAACCAATGGCAACTGAGGAATAAGACGTCCTCGGTGAGGAGTGTAAAAAAGAAAGAAAGAAAGTAAGAAAGACAGAAAGAAAGAAGGAAAGGGGGCGAGTGCTTTTTATTTGAGTGAGTGTGCGCATTTCAGTTCGTGTGTCTGTGTGTGTGTGTGTGTGTGTGTGTGTGTGTGTGTGTGTGTGTGTGTCTTGGCGAGGTTGTGGTTGTGTGGCAGATGGATGAGGAAACCACCACTGACAACCGCAGCCTCCTCTTGCTGTTTCCTGTAGCCAGAACCTCCGTTTCAATTGCTATCTTACAGCCCCCATAATCAGGTCAAAACCATTAAAATGGTATACTGAGTTGCATCCAATTAGGGCAATCTTCTTTTCTTTTTTTTTTTAAGAAATATCTGATGAATCAACCACTTTTGTGTCACGTAACTAAAATGACATCGATTGTAAAACAGGAATTTTGTCAGAAAGTTTGCGAAAGTTTTTCTTAAATTACAAACTTTTTAAAGATATTTTCTGTTTGCCTCATTTCTAAATGGGTTAAGAAACAACTTCAAAAAGCTAAAGTTACAGTCTTAAATACACACAAAATTGAATCAAGTTAAGTGCAACCTTAAGAAGTGCGAGTGAGACGCGCCGTCCTGTCACAAGATTAAAATTCTTCAGTGTGCATGACTGGCAGGCAGGAACGGCACACTTCACTTTGAAGAGAACCGATTCTCCAATCTGGGGATTTAATCAGTTCACGCTTAAACTGAGGGTCAGTTTCACAGAAATGCAGGCACAGCACAAGTCTAAAGTATAGCGGTGTACCTAGTTTAGAAAGTCAACAAAATAAACAAAAAACATATCGTCTTTCTTCTGCAAACTATGATTTGTTGCACTTGGGTGTTTGATGGGCACCCAACACCGAACAGAACATGCTGCCTCAGGTTTGTCCATCTAAAAGGGAAATAGCCCAAAAATGACAGAAACTGGACAGATTTTATCAAGCTCAGTTTAAGCCACTACTCATTATTTAGCCCAATGATAAAGCCTGTGGAATGCTTTGTACTTGCAACACTGTCTGGCTGAGTATATGCATCATGAGCACACTCGACATCAGACTGCGGCTTTAGTGAAAGGTTTGCTGTGAATGCCTCTGAAAAAGAAAGAGCACAAACGTCAAGGTGAAAGGAGCCGTTTGTACCTGTAAAGGTTTTAACTGCGCTATTGGAAATGATGGACTGAAATGTTTTCCCGGGCTCCGTGGCTCCGTTTCTCCTTTGGCAGAGAAAACCAAAGTGTAAAATAAGTCACATCTGTACAGTATTTGCCTCAGTTTCCCTTTCATCTAAAATAAAAAAAATGGGAACGGGGAATATTTGGATGAATCGTAGGTTATGACTTGCAAAGATTTGCCAATTCACAATAACTTCACCATAACAACAGGGAATGTGTTGTGGATTACACAGAACGTTTCCTCTGGTGTTAATTTATTTAGACTGCCAGGAGAAGACTTCCCGAAAACGACATTGATTTTTGTTGCTGGATTTCCCTTATCGTTAATTAGAAATAAAAACTTATCAACAATATCAGTTTTGCATGTGTTTGCCATTTTGCAAGGATTGTATCTATTTTGTGACTGGGGCTGAAGTCGGAAGTAAATTACGTTTCTGTAAATTCAAATGGTTTTTGTCTAATCTGTGGAAACACTAAGGCTTTGGGCTGTGAATCCTTCTTGGTCCTAAACCTTTGAACAGAGTGAGATATTAGGAGATAATTAAACTCAAAATTGAAGCCTTTCAAATTTGAGTGTTATTTCATCTGGTATGCCAGGCACAAGATCTTTTTTTGTTAGGAGCTACAGTCCAGCACATTTTCAATCATCTGAATAGGATAAAGCTTGAAATACGCGAAACAAGATGTAGTTTCTTGTTTTTTTTTCACAGAGGCGTACATGTAAAGCACTCCTTGGCATGTTTCAGGCACGCTACAGCTGTTACTGGTATAAATTTGATTAGTGATTCAAGACTTTTTTTCCTTTTTTGTGAGGAAATATTTCCTCCCTTCAGATCTTCCAGCTAAAATAGGTCACAGTGTTAATGAAAAGTCAACTCTTTTTGTGTTATCTTTGATGTGACAAATGCTATTCAGAAATGCGAAGAAAAAAAATGAATCGGAGCATTCCAGCATTTCCAGTCCTGTTCTCTGTTCTTTCTTGTGCGTCTTTGTCTCAATAAGAAATGTGGTATTTCAGATGCTGTCATGTTTCCAGCTGAGGCCCACACTCTGAACGCTGTTTATTTTGTGGAGCTTATGGCAGCATCTCTGAATCAACATGTAGGAGGGTGACGGGCTGCATGTTCTCCAAATTCATTTGATTTCCTTTCAAAGGCTGCGCTGTTCATTAGCTGGAGAGACACACGGAGAGCGCATGTAAAAAAAACACTTATTTTCGTTACCAGCTTTCTACCCAGATCCACTTCAAAACAATAGCTGTTGGCGATGGAGCGGCGGACTCCGGTTTCGCCGTGGCTTAGCAGAGACCGATGGAGGGGCTGAGCGTTCTCTGGCTCCTTACAGGCCTCAAAATGTCCCCACACCTCCTTCTTTGCTAAAGCCATAAAGAAACCATTTTTCGAAGGGGTTAATCTTCGGATGCTGCTCGTTGATTAATTTTTGATTCCTACGTTCAGATCCTGTGTGGCTTTACCACAGAGGGCATCACCTTATTGACAAACTGCTCGACACCTGATACAGACGCAGGCTCCATTAACCGGAGCCTGACCTGACGGAAAACACAACAACACCCCCTCCTTTATGTCCAATTGTGTGTTGATGAATAACAAGCCATCATACTTCACTAACCCCTGCAGGAGCAATTTACCCTCATTTTCAGAAATTCTGCCCGCTTAGATCAATGAGGAGGGGAGTGAGGATGATTTTTACAGACCCTACAGCCCCCTCGCTCTTAAATCTTATTCGGCGAGGCATCTTGTTTCTCTCCCTCTCCATCTTGTTTTCCTTGTCTCTGTCTCTCTCTTTGCTTTTGAAGGTGGGCACGTCAAATCCATTACTCAATCTGCTCAATGGAGCGAGGCCCATTTACCAGTTGACTCATTTTAGATGGATCATTTACCCTTTCATCCAGTCTGACAATGCCACTGATGTAACCAGAGGGATCAAGCCTTGTTTTTCCCTTTTTTTGTATTATTTTAATTTTTTTTGGCTCACAAAGGGGGGTTTGGGAGGGAATATTATACCTTTTTGTTCTTTATCACTGAAGGCAGTTGGGAGTCTTGAGAAAAGCAACGCAATCCCTTTCAAATCTTCGATCCTGGCACCGCTAACAGAGCACCTCCTCTGTTACTAAGTTACTAAAGAGCGCATGTGAAAACCCAAAGTATCCCTGAGGAAGTTTGTTGTCACATGAGTTCAACGCTTATGCATTCAGTCCTCCAGAAAAGAAAATGACAGATTCTTTGTGAGATCTGACTGGGATGTATGACAGGAACAGTAAGTATTACAAAGACATCCAGCCAGTTAAACCAGATGCAGATTTTTTTTTTTTCCAAGTCTGACTTAAAAAATTAGGAGCTGGAGAGAAGCCACATGGAGATGGTGGCGTTCCTGACACGAGTGGATTCTAAACGTCAGTCTCAAGCTGCCAGTGCTGATATGAGCAGAAAGCATGAGCACAGCAAAGGTTCGATCAAAACAAACCTTTGCATTAGTTTTAAAGGAGGTCGAGTACGTGCAGTCGATTCCTGACTGACAGGAAACAGCTGCTATCATTTTTGAGTGACGCTTTTACTGCACCGTTTTTTACAAAAAGACGAAAAACCATTTAAAAGCTCTTAGTTAAAGTAAGTTTCTGGTTATGGTTGGGAGGGGAAATAATAAATAATTGATGTGATCTTGGACATTTTTGGTACTCTGAAAAAGTTTCGTTGTGTTGTCTAACCATTTCCCTTTTTAAAAAATCCCCACTTGGGAAGTCGATTCCACCCCCCTGAACCCATCCACCCAGATGAATCCGGCCTGTCATGGAAACGTCCCGTTGTCAGCTGTACGGAGCTGAGCATGCATCTTACATCAACCTCCAGCCTCAAAGGACATAAATATATAAACTCTTAATGCTTTCTAGTTGAACGGCTACATTCTGTGATTCAGGCAAATGTGAATCTGTGTGGTGGGTTTTCAACAAGAAGCCAGTCTTCTCCATGGTCTCAGTGCAAGATGCTGTTGGATGCTTTACATTGTTCCCGGTGTGTTTCCGATAAAGATGAAGGGCTGCTGGAACAATTGTTAAGCGGTGTGCCATGAAAATGCTTAAACATAGTCCTAAATGGCAAACAAGCCCGGCTGTGAGTCATCCGGGCTAAGTCTGGGATTGTTCCAGCACAGATGACCACAGCGTTGTTTAGTAGCATTGTGTTTCCTTAGCCAATTTAAAAACAGTGAAACCGACACCTTCTGTTTTTACCTCTGCCTGCCTCACACAGTTCAATAAGACCTCAGAAAATGGTGTCCAATTGTTCCAATTAACATTATGTGAGACATTTAAACTACTCAATAAAAACATAGAAGTGCAACAAAGAGAGCTAACAAAGCATCCACATGAGCAAGAACAGGATGAAAAAATCATCCTGTATTAAACAAGTCAAAGCTCATGCGACATACATAGTAATAACTATGTAATAGTAATAACACATAGAAATGATCTCTGTGTTATTAGAGGCACAACATTTATGTTTGCCTCAAACTATCAGCACGGCATGCACTGTAGATGTGTAAAAATACATGATATTGTCTGGATTTGTTGTAGGCAAAACCCTGAGTAGGTTTTAATCACAGTATTAAAAGATTATCAAAGATCTTTTCTTTTTTTCTTCTTGAGAAAGAATGAGTGAGAAACTCAATGGTTGCCTAGTTAAATCTGGAAAACTCTCCACCTTCTTAATTTAAAACACGTAAATTAGGGATGACACAAATTTATATTCATGGCCAATACCAAGGACAGAACGATGTCCAGGCACACAGCTGTATGTTCAGCAGTTACTTCACCTGGTTTGACCTTAGGTATGCTCTAAATCAGTTGTCTATGGTCAAACAGTTTTGAACGAATATTTTTCCTGATCTAACAGTGTGTCTGGGGGGCTGACCTGTCTGTTGCGCTCATCGGTGATCCTCTGAATCTGGATCTTTTTCCTCCCCATGGTTCTGGTGTGGCGGTGGGAGGAGCAGCGTGGGAGTGGCGGTGTCGGAGGTGACAGATGGCGATTGGGAAATCTCTTCTTTTGACTGTTCAGTTGCCTTCACTTTGCTGTGCGCTCTGACTCTTGTCTGAAACACCTGAGCCGAAAGGCTTCTGCCACAATGGCTGGAAAAAAAAAATTGAAAACAAAAAAAAAAAAAGTGGGAGAAGGAGGAGAGGAAGAATGGGGTTTAGAGTGCGGCGCCCTTCCTCAGATCATGGTCCTGTTTCGGGGGGCAGGTCAACCACATTCACTGTCCACTGGGATCTTCTGCCCTCCCCTTCACCTCAGCTGGGCAGCTCCTAGAAAACAACACAGAGGCGTCCATCAGACGGGGAGGGAGACTGAAAGGGGCAGAGAAACACTCTGTTTGTAAACTCTGACCCAATTTAGCTACTACAAACACGGCATTTGCCTTATATGAAAGAGGAATAAATGACGCAGCAACACATTTGAAGCGGCATCAAATCAGAGGCACATTTGGTAAAACGAACAGGAGACTGTGTGTGTGGGGGGGGGTCGCTACGTGCACAGCACAAGGCCTCAGGGGTCTGAGAGGAGGGAGGCTGTGCTGTGTCAGCTTCATTAGAGGCATCACCGCCACATCACTGATCTGCTGGTCGCCCACGGCAACCGGCTGCCCAGCCGGGGCCGCCTGACACGCCGAATGTGATTCCCAAACAAGGGGCGCAACAGAAATCAGCCACTGAGTTTGTGGATCCTGCATATTTTTTCCATTTTCAAAACACCGTCTTGTCCAGTGACGATTTCTCTCCATGAAACCGAGCCGGTGATTAACATAATCTGCACCGGTCCGCGCTGTGATGAGGGGAAACATCGTCCTTTGAACTATGCTGAGTTGATTCTCCAAACTCCCGGGACCCCGTAACAGACAGGCTAGCAGAGGAAGATGAGTGGGCGTGTTTCCATAAGTGACTCTGACTATTCAAATACAGGCTGACCGATATTATTAAGCTTTGTTTTCTTTACAGCTAAACTGAATGGTGACCTATTTCCAGGCAAACACCAGGAAAAATGAAGAGAGCAAAAAACGTGTGTCTAATCCCCCCCATCTATCTAACTAACCGTGAAATTAAGAGTGGTCTGAGATGCCTCTTGGCGCCCGATCAAAAACAGGACGAGTATGTTATCGAGAAAAATACATTTCAAAAGAGCACAGCGGGGCCAGAGAGCCCAGAGTGTTTCTGCAAACTCATGCAAACTCGTGAATGAATGAGGCGGCAGAAACCTGGGAATGGCAACAGAGGCAAGGACTGTTTTAGGCCCTGTTACTACTATTTGCGGTAAAAATAGCTGCCTCTATATATACATACAGACTTTGTGTACACACCACACAGCTACACACACACATACACAGACACACACACACACGGTTGTAGCCAAGTGGCAGCATTACAGAGCTAAAGCATTTGGAAAGCCTTGAGTACAGACAAAACACCAGCTCCTCGGTTTTGTTTGAATTCCCTCTACCTGGGGGAGCAGCAGTAGAAAAACGCCCTGTATTTACATCCATTCTTACGAAACAAAGAGCTAGAAACTGTCTGTCATGAGACTGACGTTCCTTTTGTGCTGCTGTGGGCGCTGCACGGCATGCTCATTTAGACGAGATGCAATTGGCTTGGCTGTGGCGATAAGTTGCTTATAAATGATGCACTGATGGGGTAGAGTGTGTGTGTGTGTGTGTGTGCGTGTGTGTGTGTGTGGGGGGGGAGTGTTATGAGTGTCATAATTGCTTTGTAAAAAGGCTTGATGCAGAACTGGAGGCTGCCAGAGACTGTTTCTTGCAGCAGGGATCATCTCCAGCGAGTGGCAGGAGCTGAATGTGCTGTACCACCGACATTGGCTACGAGCGAGTCTCCAGCCCCTAAAGCCACGACATTTCCCAAATATCCTCTTTTAGTTTCTATATCTACAGTCTGGATGGATGCAGATTTATTAGGAGAGTTCAATAAAAGATGCCGAACTCTATCTGGATCACCTCATTAGTGTCACTACAGGAAGAGCAGGTATTTTTAAAATACCATACGACCCCCCCCCCCCCCCCTTCCAACTTCAAATGACAGAGCGTAAATACGTGACATATTCTAGCAAAAATAAAAAGCCGTGGGTCTTTGTGTTTTTTACTCAGCCCTTGTTAGGATACAGAGAGGGTGAAGGACTTGCTCCAGTTGCGCTGAAGTTCAAAGGCAGCGAACTGAGGGATTTGTCTTTAGGCTGTGGGCCGATCCCACATGAAAAGGCTGCTTTATCTGCCTGGGGTGGTCAAGTCTCGACCTTTTACCCTTCATGCTGCTGCAGTTTGCTTCCCATGTCTGATGTCAGGCAGAATCTCTGTTCTCACATGAGGAGCAGAGGGCCTGGAGTGTGTCTGCTGCCTCGCTGAACAGACCACAGCAACAGAGCGACTCTGGACACTGAAAAGATGAACCGTGATTACTAGGAATCTACACTGGACCAAAATTAGGCCCCTGGGGAACACCTAATCGCATTAGGAAATGTTCTTTCTCAATAGGTGTTGAAATGTGTCCTATTTAATTCTTCATTTTACTAAAAGTTAGGATTTAAAAACTGAAGTGAAGGACAGTGGAACCTATGAGGCTCAAACATTAAAAAATTAAGAAAAGTAAATCATCTCCATAATTCAACATAGCAAAATCAAAAGGTAATACAACTCAACTTTCTTCCACCTCATACATGACGTTTTCATGCATTTATAGTACATTAAACTCTGGCAGTGTGTGATCCAGTGTTTGAGAATCATGAATTAGTCTAAAGGAAAAACCTACTGTTACACTATTTAATGACATATATGCCTACTATCAGAGGGCAGATTGGGTCATGGCCCTGAGCCAGCCTACAACCCAGATTAACGCATTAAAACAGTAAGGGAATGTTACATCACGTGTTTATCCTCAACATCTGTTACTGTGGTTTTAAACATTTCAAAGCTTTGATTTTTGTCATTTGGGAAGAAAGCCTCTAGCTGGGAGGGCAGTATATAACATGTATGCGTGAAGTCAGAAGTGATGGTTTTCTATGATGACATGCTTCACAGTGACCCATAGTTCCGTCTGGACTTCCTAATGTAGCCGATGTCTTCTAAAATTGGACAGAGAGAAGCTTCTTTCGGGGCGACGGGAAAATCAGGGGTTAAGTGATTTGCCAGAGGGCATGTCAGACAGTTTTTTTCCCGGCCAGTCGTGGTCTGTGAACTACTGACCTTCCCACTGACAACCTGCCTGGCTGTCCCCCAGGCTGAAGCTGCCCTCAATATTACTGATACATCGCCACCAACGCTTCCGCTGCAGGCTGGATGTGTCAGAACCTGCAGGGCTGTGACTGAGTCATGACACAGGAAAACAAGCCACTTGCATGCCACAAAATACAGTAGGGAAACACGGTGTTTGGGCCAGACAGCTCTGTGTCAACAGGGCAGTCTGTTGGCTGCTAATCAGAGGTGATTAAATCTGTTTAAAACGTGGGCAAATCACTCAAATCTGACAGGCAAAATGCAACATCTGAGATTGAAATCATCATGGATTCTCATAAAACGCTTCAAATGTTAATGGCTAGAAGCGCTACAAGTTTTTTTACAACCCTAACCCCCAATAAATGATAAAACTACATATAAGGTCAGCATTTGCTTTAGAAGAGCGTTATCAGTGTGACCATTTGTTAACTAAAAAGTGACCGATGCACCAGTTTATTGGTCAGACCTCACCCTGTGAGATCAATTTGTCAGTGTGTGTGTGTGTGTCCATGTCTTCCTGCATGTCCACCACTCACGGCTGTGGTGTGTTTTATGTGAGTTGAGCAACCTGGAGCAGAGAGATAACAGTCAGCGGTATGGGTTTTTGTGTGCGTGTGTGTGTTGGGGGGGGGGGGGGGGGGGCAGCTGGAGCAATGCCAGAGGAAAGAAATCAGAGAAGGAGGAATGTCTCACTTTTACCCCCTCAGCAAGTGAGCACCAACGCCTGCCAAAGCTGCCCAGAAAAGTTGCCACCGCATGGTGCCCTAAACCACAATTACACCAAACCGGATTAATCCAGGTCTCCACGGCAATGGCAACAAACAAACAAACGAGGCGATCCAGCCAAATTCACTAGCAGAGATAAGATTAGAAGACATTATAGTTTCTAACAGCTTCCAGAATATAATGCTCCTGATAGTCTTTGGGGGAAGAAATTACTGAAGCATTCAACTCTATTGTTTACCAAATAATAAATTCATCATGGCTGCTGAAAATGTCTTATTCAGACACAACACAGCAATCAACATTTAAGGAGAAAACAACTTGCTGTTCGGAGCAGTGAGTAATGACGATGTGGTTTCTGGAACTTTTGGTAAGGAGACGCTGAAATATTGCTGATAGTTGCTTGTTTATCTTAATTCGTGTGGAGCTGGAAACCAACATGACGCATATTGGTTGACTGAAATAAGTTTGGACCAGTCTGAGAGAGAGATTGTGTGATATGATACAGGCATACACAATCATGGTAGCTGTCAATTAAATATATGAAAGCCTTTCCTATCAGTTCGCAGAACCTGCTGGAAAGATATCACAGAAGCTGGGAGAGCTCGGGGACTCGAGTTTCAAAAAGAGGGCAGGGAGCCTGGATGGAGCCGCTGGAGTCATGACCTCTGCAGCAGGTGGTCAAAATGGCTGATCTCTCCCTCGGTTTGATGTTGGAAAGATCAATACTCCACTGATAGTTTTTCATCGCTCACTGTTAAATGAAGCAGACCCAACATGGTGGACAAAACCCGAGATGACAAACGATGTCATCAGATGCTCCACACGACCTCACTGTGAGTTAATTCGGCAGGTGCCGGACGCTTCTGGATGTTCCAAGTTTACTTTGACCGGGGGGACTGAAAAAGCTTAACTTTAACTCGTCAGCTTATTCAGATATCCTAAAGCTTAAATTTGACATCAGTTACTGCCTTAATACACTGTTTCAAACTTGTTTCCTAATGAATTTGCTCCTGAATGGGAC